AAAGAGTGTAAAAAGGAGAAGAAAATGGAGTAGTACAAGAAAGAACATGAGCAATAAATTGAAAGTAGAAGTCCAAAATAGTCTACAGATATTTTGGTTCTAAACAGTTTTTGGATAGAATTCTTATCAAACATTTTTTTCTGTTGTAAAAGTAGAAAATCGTTTTCAAAAACCAAAATCAAACAAGGTTTTAGCCTCCTATTAAAACCAAGTATAATCTCAATTATGCAGTTATGTAATAACCAAAGAGGTGTTGTTAGTGATTCTATTTTTTCCATGGTTATCAGGTTAAGATTGGTGACTTGGGTTTGGCAGCAATTGTGGGTAAGAACCATTGTGCTCACACTGTTCTTGGCACACCAGAATTTATGGCTCCAGAATTATACGATGAAGACTACACAGAATTGGTGGACATATACTCATTTGGGATGTGTGTGTTAGAGATGGTGACACTAGAGATTCCTTATAGTGAATGTGACAATGTTGCTAAGATATACAAGAAGGTGTCTTCTGGAGTTAGACCTGCAGCCTTGAACAAGGTCAAAGATCCAGAGGTGAAGGCCTTCATTGAGAAGTGCCTTGCTCAGCCAAGGGCTAGACCTTCTGCAGCTGAGCTCCTCAGAGATCCTTTCTTTGATGAGATTGTTGATGATGACGAAAATGATGATTGTGCTTGTTCATACCAATAAAATTGTATTCGAGACTTGTTTGGATAAATTTTTAAAGAAACATTTGCAAGAGATAAAAATAGAAAGGAAAAATGAGATAAATTTTTTCGTTAGTTTATGTATAAGTTAATTTGTCAAAGTTATGTATAAGCTAAATTTAACTCATGAAAAAATTTATTTTATTTTTATTTCTCCTATAAGTGTTTTTAGAGAAATGTATCTAAACATGTTCTCATCGTGATATAATATGTTGATTTGATGTGTTGGTTTTTTAACTTGATTCACCTACCTTTTCATTTTTAATGTCAATTTAGAGTCTATGATTGTTTTGATTTCTTCCATTTGGCAAACTGTGAAATTGGATAAGGCTTGAATATGGGGTAAGCCAGGGGAGGGTTTGATTGGGGATGGTGTCATTTTGTACATAGGAAATTCTTCAGACGAGTTGTGACGCATATATTGAATGATGAATTGGAGATAAATGTTAAAAAAGTATATTAGATGTAATCAGCAGTCAATTGAAGACATACAGATACAATATCTTGAAAAATAAAAATAGTACTTCGGAAGGATATTTCATTTTGAAAAAGTGTAATTATCCCATTTTAGAAGTTCATGATTTTAGTAATCAAAAGGATATTTGTTACAGATTTCACCCAAACATAAAATCACATTTTGAAAACTATAATTATTATAAATTAAGTCTTCAACCTTGTAAATGATCTCCTTCATATGTTTTTTTTAATTATTATTTTGTTCTATGTACAAGATATTTGTATTGATTAATCATTTAATATAATTTTAGTCAAACAAACTCTGAATTTACTATCCTAACATTTTAAGTAATAAGCATTTGTTGGAAATGTCAAAAGGTATTTCAGTATGGTGATATTGAATCAATCCTCTCTTTCATTGCCTCCTTCAACTAAGGATGAGATTTGAAGCAATCAAATCAAAAGCAATGTGAGCGTGAAAAGGGTTTTATCATTAGAGTTGAGGTCAAACAAAAAAGTGAAGTTAATGGTTTGAATGCGATTAGAGCAGCATGATATATGTGTGGAGGACAGCCTACATATCATAAGTGCAACAAGCAAAATGAGTTGTTCATATATTAAAAATTGGAGCAACGACTATTGGGGAAAAGCTAATGAAGCTTAATGATGAAGAGAAGAGGGTGTGAGCTCCACTCATTTTTGTTGGAAAATTAAATTATTCTAGTGACCCGTTGGGTGTACCACATCTTTTTTCTCCTTAAAGCAATATATTCTTTTTATTTGCATTGTATACTGGAAACTCCCCATAGAACACTTCACAGAATCATCACCTGCAAGAGTAAATTGGAGATAAAGACAAATACAAGGTTGTTAAACAACCTTTGAGGCAATTTCAGAGGAAGGTTGCGTTTGATTTTATAACAGTGATTGAGGTAATATTGTTCACATTATGTGCAGGTCATGGTTGAATAAATATTTTTTTTGCAGAGGTAGAAAGTCAATCAATGTTTATTCTCCATGATTGGCTGTTCATGTATAATATAACATTGATGGGCCAAAAAAATATTTCTATTTTCAATGTAAAAAGTTAGACTATTTTAATAATTAAGTTTTATTTAAGATAAAACACATTAAAAAATTCAATATTTAAATCACGGACTACTCACTGTTTTTCTTTATGCTTATCACCACGTCCATTCAACAAATAAGAGAGTACAAAAGGTGGTTTAATGTACCATGTATTTTATTTCTTTTTTTCCCACAGTAATTTGGAATCGATATCTTTTTTTTTTTTTTAAAAATAAGAAATATTACAAAGATGATCGCAGTGAGGATTGAATCTAGATCTTCATGCTTCTAACTATCCCAACCCCTTCTCACCCAACCACTACGCTAACCCTAGTAATTTTTGAAATCGATATCTAATTACTAATTTGTATTTATAAAACTTAATTTTTATTGATTAAATATTATTTTATTTTATACGATAATCAAATTTGAAAATATTAGGTCAATTATTATGTCTCAAAACAGACTTTATAATTACTAAATCAAGAAAATTAATTTAATGTTCTCTATCATTAACATATTCAAATTTTTTTAAGTTTCTTTATTTACTTTCTCTTTTATCCCAAACAAGGCTTTTCCTTCTTTTTCTTTCTGTTCTGTCCCATATATTCTGTTTACCTTTAGGACATGAAGGTATTATGATAATTAAAAGATGGAAAAGAGAAAAAAATATATAGTGAAAACCAAGACAGCCGGCACACCTATAATCGATGTCATCCAGCTTTCAATACTATTATTTATTAATGTGAAATTAATATATTTATGTTTTGATGATCATCCATTTTTTTTACATGTCAAGTATAAAAAAAAATTATTTAATCTATAGTATTTTAAATTTACTTAAAAATTAATTCATTTATCCAAACTCTATCTTAGTACACTGTAAAATTTTGAAATCCCCGTATATAACACAGATTTTAGGATGGATGCTTCATGACAAGAGTTATACTCATATTTGGAATTATGTTGTCAATCCCGATATACATTCCATTCACCACTTTTGGAACCGCATAATATTAAATTAGATTAGATATTAACGATGCACCAATAAAAACAAGCATTACAAGCACCTAACGAAGGTTTCTAAGAAGAGACATGTCCTTATCCAATGCCCAAAAAGCATGCATAACTAGCATGATTCATCATTGCAACCCTTAACAACAAAGGAGCAAATATCAAGAAACAACGACCACAAAAAATGCAGGAAATTACAAGACATTTTGCTGTGTTTCTGAGGAGGTTGGTTTTCTTTCCTGTTCTTCTTTTCGTTACCATAGAATGTACAAAAGGTGAGTCATCAGAATCTGAGTCTTTCTTCAGCTTTCTAAGGACCCTTGATCCCCCAAACGTGCTTAACATTATCTGGATTGGATCACCATCACATCCTTGCATGATCAAGTTGAATGGTGTAACATGTAACTCAAATGCAACAAATATTGTACACATAAGGCTCGAGAACATGAACCTTAGTGGCACAATTGATGCAGATTCCCTATGCAGGCTCCAAAATTTAAGAGTGGTGAACTTGGCTAAGAACAACATTAAAGGAACTATTCCACACTCAATTTTGCATTGTACAAGGTTGACACACTTAAATCTAACCAGCAACCAATTGAGTGGAAGGTTGCCACATGCCTTAACAAAATTGAGACATCTTAGGAACTTAGACATTTCTAATAACAACTTTTCTGGTATGATACCTAGTAAACAACAATATAGGAGCCTCTTCACTTATGTGACATCAAGTAACAAGTTGGAATTGGAAAGCAACAACAGTGCCAAAGGGTGGCTAATTAAGGAAAGTGATACAAACACAATGCAGCAAGAAACGACAGATCCTAATTCTGGTAATAACAATAGATCCAGCCCACAAACCTTGTTGGTTTTAGTTTTGGGAACTTTATTGCTTTTGGTATTTCTTTACCTTCTGGCAAAAAAGATAGCAAAGTTTGATGCTGAGAGAAAGGCAGTTAAAGACCAAAATCATGTGTCTCCAATAAAAAAGGCTACAGATCTTGAAGTTCAAGAGGTGAAGCTGAAGGAAGGAGATTCTGAGCTTGTTTTCTTTGTTGAAGATCGTGAGAGGTTCACACTAGAGGACCTTCTTCGAGCCACTGCTGATTTGAGGAGTGAAAGCTTTTGTAGCAGCCTTTATAAGGTGAAGCTAGAGAATAACGTTCACTATGCAGTGAAAAGATTGAAGAATTTGCAGGTATCCTTGGAGGAATTTGGTGAAACATTAAGGAAGATTAGTAACTTGAAGCATCAAAATATTCTACCCCTTGTTGGTTACCGTTCCGCCAGTGAGGAAAAACTCATCATTTACAGATATCAAAGTAATGGAAGCCTGCTTAATCTGTTAAACGGTTAGTTAAGACTAAATATTTTCCATTATATTAGATGTGTTCCCTAACATGCATTGCATGTAATATATGGATCTGCCTTGATCATTTGCACAGTATAAGCTGAAACCTCACATTAGTCATATCTTTTTAGAAGAAAAGACAGTATTTATTATATCAAAAATATAAAAGTTATTTAACACTTGCGTTTTAAGTACAATTTTGCAACCGTTTTCCTTTAAGAAATCAAAAGTGATTTTTTTAATTAAAAAAGTATAACAAGTTTTCTATGATTTTGAATAAAAAAAATTTATTTATTCATTTCTTGAGCATTACCCTCTCAGGTTAATAGTTAATAATAAATCCATGTATAATGTAAAGATGTTTTTATCAAATTATGCATTATCTATTATGGAAAGATTGTTGATATATGTAATAATCACAAACTTAGATATAGTACTATAAATAATACGTGTAGATATTTAATAGAATATTTTATTTTGCATATCATTAAAGTGAAATTTTAATTTTGATCAAAGAACTATATTTATAGCACAACATGCAAGTTTTATTCTTCTGATAATCAATTTAAAAGTCATATTAAGAAAATGCCTTCTAATTAGTTGATAGTGTAAAAAGAGAGTCAATATATCAGAATCCAATTCTTTAGCTAACTGGTATTGCTTTTTATGCAGATTATGTAGCGGGTAGAAAATATTTCCCATGGAAACTGCGACTGAATATAGCATGTGGGATTGCTAGGGGTTTGGCCTTCATATACAAGAAGTTGGATGATAATCAAGAGATCATTCCTCATGGAAACCTGAAGCCATCAAACATCCTTCTTGATGAGAACAATGAGCCAGTAATAAGTGAGCATGGTTTATCAAAATTCCTGGACCCAAACACAAGTTTCCTGTTTTCATCTCATGGATACACAGCTCCTGAAAAGAGCATAACAGAAAAGGGTGATGTGTACAGCTTTGGAGTGATTCTTTTAGAGCTACTAACAGGAAAAAGCATAGAGGTTAGCAGAATAGACCTTGCTAAATGGGTGAGGTCCATGGTGAGGGAGGAATGGACAGGAGAAGTGTTTGACAAGGAAGTTAGGGTAAATGAGCATCAATGGGCTTTTCCTCTTCTCAACATAGCACTCTTGTGTGTGTCACGTTTCCAAGAAAATAGGCCAACCACTGGTGAGATTTTGGAGAAGATTGAACAGGTCATGGATGAACATGAACAACATGAGGAACGTTTTGCTTCCAAGTGTTGTTCTGATGGATCCAACCGTGATGAATGTTGTTCACTTCACAAGATCATACCTGAAACATGGGACTCCCCAGGATCAAATTATTGATTGGTGCTCCACATAACATGTATTATTCAATATTCACCCATTAATATATCGTAAGGGTATCTTCTATAGTACGTGAACATGTGATAGTTTGTAGTCATATGTTTGTTGTTTAGGAATTAATCTTGTATTCTGCAACTATGCTAGCTTTTGAACTCAGATACATGTTGTTGTAATCTTCTGTTAATTGTCATTTTTTTAACTACATTTGCATTTGTTACGTAAAACTAGCTTTTCATAACCATGTTCTTTGGAGTATTTATCGATTTCGTTAATAATTAATTTCTGTCAAAGAATTTAATTAACTATTTTTAATAGATCTTCTCTCTATCACACTTTTTCTAATATGAGATTTGAATCTAAAATATTATTTAAAGAAATTGAATTTAGTACCACTTAGATTAATACCTGATTATTGCTATGAAAATGAATTTAACTTTAGTTTATAATTTTATATACACAACAAGCAAAAGCAAACAGCTGTTGGAATAATGCACGGACGAATCTAGGTTGTCCATCGTGGGGGGCACTTGCCTCCACTTCCATTTCATACATGCATGTTTTATTTATTTTAAAAAATATATTTAAAAAAATAAAAATTATATTTTAATAAAATTAACATATAT